ATTCCAAATATGTAAAAAAAAATATATGTTTATTCAGAGAAAGTACGTTTTTGTGTCTGATTTCGTAACTTAATTAATAGTTAGCACTAATTAATTAACATATTTGAGGTCACCCCCAGGAACCATTAAGATTGACACTAAGTTCGTGAAAATCCGATCATTAGAACGAAAGTTATTCAGGGTGATTCAGTTTTTTTTACGGACTGTACATACTGTGATATTAGACTGAAATTTTTTTTAAATATATATCTAGAAAAGTCAGGTAATTTTATTCTTCTACTTTAGTAACAACCCTGAATACTGCATTTGCAGAAAAGTGTATGACCCTTGAATTTATCACCATAAAAGTTTATAATTTAAATTTTTTAATTGAGCTTCTTTTTCATAAAAATGACTGAATTACCCAAAAGTTTGAAACAATAAATCCTGCAGGTAAGGCAATATGCTTGAGCCATATATATAATTAGTGGATTGTCCCTAACTTTGAACTATTTGCAATGTTTATCAATTTGGTGAATGCAAACAAAAAGAAATATTTTTTTTAAAGATTAATTATTTTGTAAATCAAATTTACTTGATAAATAACAGAATTCATTTGACTCATTCAATCAACTCGCATTATATATTGCAGGAAGTTCAATATTGGTATGTCCACATTAGCCCCATGGTTTCATTTGTATAAGGATTGCTTTTTCATTTGTTATGGTTTCATTTGTGTAATTATTGGATTTAAAAAAATTCAAATCTACCAAGAAAAGTCAGGGGAAAAAATTTCTCCTTTTTGAGTATGAACCCTGTAAACGTTATTTTTATGATCATGTTTTTTTCAAAAAGCATGTCAATGTGAAAAGGTTAAATTGAGATTTCTAATGTTGAAATTTTTTTTGTTCAAAAATTAAGAACAATTTAAAAAATTCTTATAAACGTTTTTATTATGATGATGAGGAAATAAGAGAATTTCTATTAGATTTTATTCTTCACGTTTTTTTTCTTTTTTTTGAAATACGGTAATTGGAAAACTGAGATGTTTAGCTTTAGAATTTTCTTTCAATAATTAGGATTGATTTCTTTTGTTTTGCTTTTGAATATAATTTTTTATGGGCATTTATCTGATAGCACTGTTTTGATAGATTATATCTCTCTTTACGTTTCATGTATTATTTTTGATCGGAAAACATTATTTTTAGTAGTGAAGTTTTGTTTTCAGAATTAAGAAGAAATTTTTTTCTATTTCCCTTTTTTTTTCAATTTTACCACTTTAGTTTTTTTAATAGTTGTTACTCACTTTTTTATTAATGTAAATATTTCTAATTATTTTAATATCTAATTATCTTTGTTATCTTAAATATTGTTATATTTTAGTTTTGCTTTACCTCATACCAATAACATAGCTAATATTTGATATTTTTTAATAATGACTAAATTTATTTATATATAAAACTATATATACTTATTCACACATATAAAAAATCTTTAATAATATTAATTAAAGTAAAACAAAAATGTTGCTACCTTTGTTAGCAAGAGCATTTGTTTTGCTTTACCTCATACCAACAACATAGCTAATTTTTGATATTTCTCAATAATGACTAAACTTATTTATGTATCAAACTATTTATACATATAAAAATCTTTAATAATATTAATTAATGATTTTTTAAAACAAAAATGTTGCTATTCGGCCGATTTTTTGGTACTCGGCCAAATCACTATTCATTTCATCCCTAGAGACAAGTAGTACTCTATGTCTCAATCTAGGGAAAAAAAATTTATTTGATTGACAAGGCCTGACTGTGATTTTTAGAGCATTGAGATATTCTAAGATTTATGATGAAGACCTCACCATGCTCTAATTAGCTTACTACATATTCTCTACATCCATGCTACTTTTACAACATAATACAACAAGAATAGAAAAGGTGACAAATTAAGCACACTGGTAACCCACAATTTTGTTGGAACAAAAACAAAGGATGTCAGATTATCTGAAAAGTTCTTTGGAAATTTGTTTAACTAAAAATGTTTCAAACCAACAATTATTTTCAAATTAGAATTTTAAAATTTCTTTGAATTTTGTTGAAGCTAGTAAATTATTTCTAATTGTTCACAAATTCTATAGAAACTTGATAAACTAAAACTGCTTCAGTCCTTGTACTTTTCAGAAAACCTAGATTCTATCCTAGCTTGTTAATTAATGCTTAATTTCAACTATGCATAAAATGTGAAATGAACAAGCCCAAAACGATAAAAAAAAATTTAATGAATATTTTTAGGCCCTGTGTATTTTAGCTGATGATGAATTTACTGTGCTGCACACATTTGCCTTGACAGAAATACGTTGCAATAAATCTGAGGCTGACAGAAGTACACTGATCGTCATTCCTAGTGGTACTTTCCACAAACAAGTATGAAGTTTATCTTATTGTTTTAAGCTTATAATTTTTATCTTTTAGAGCAAATTTTCTAATTGTATTAACGGAGCTTTTAAAATTATATTCTCAAAGAACAATTCTGACATGTTATAAGAATAAATTGTGCACATAAACAATTATTTTATTCTAAATATAAAAAAACTAAAACATAAAAAAACACTGTGTTATATTTAGTCTTAAATTAATAATGTTATATATACTCCATGTTGAACACAATGTAGACATGATCAATATGTTCCCCAATAGCTGGCCCTTCAGTAGTTATGAAAGAACGGAGTTTGTTAATCTGTAAGGTTAAATTTCTTTAAAATTAATTTGGAAATGTCTTGAATTTTTTAAGTGTATTAAGAGCAGGGTTAAAAGTTCTTCCTTCTGTCGAGTTAGCATATAATTTATTAACATAATAATTACCATCATTTCTTTAACTATAAATGCGACAAAATGCCCAAAATTTTAACCAAATATATTACAAGGGCTAACTTATAAAATTTTTGCCATTCAATGTGGGTTTTGATGTTGTTCAAAATTTTACAGTTGCACATTAATTTAGTATGCTTTAAAAGTTAACATTTCAACTTGGGGAAATAATACAGACATTACTGCCAAGCATAGTGACTCTATTAAATAACACGAAGAAAGCAATCGGATTTTATCTAAAAATTAATTGATATATGAGTGGTCCACTATTAAAAAGTGTTGATAATAAAAAGTTTTTAGCATTATTGATAGCTTTCTATCGTGTACTTAAAAATACATAAAAACGAATAAAAAGACATTTTAAAATTTTTTGAGTGATTAACACATTTACTGTTGATCTCCTACCATCTAGAATTTCACTCTAGCAACTATCACACACTAGCTCTTTATATAGTTTTCAGTTTTTAAAGTGGTCTACTAAGACAGTATTCAACAATTTACATTTGTTAAGCAGTGAGTTTTATCGATTTTATTTAGGTTCTCATTTTTAGTTTTGCTACTTAAACCTTTTATATTAGAGTTACTAGTTTAATTTAACATTTTGCTCAGATCTCCCAGTTTTGTAAATTATCAGTTGACATTGATTGGGAAAATCCCCCTCTTTGACAATGGATAGTTGTAGCCGTTTAAAAATACATAGTGGCTAGCTTATATTCATGCTCAATTCATTCAATCGGCAAAGTGTTAATATAGTTTAATCTTAACTGATTTATCCTTTATAATTGGAATGTTTTCCAAATGCTATGAATATTGAATGACATGATACATCTGTTTGAATGAATTTTTATTTAAAAGAATTGATCTTTGATCTTAATTCTCTTTCGTAAAAAACTTTACAAATTTGTAATAATAATATATATACAGTGTCAACTATTATTAAAATTAGTTTATATACTTTTAAAACCAGTATAGATGTATTTGTAAATATTATAAAAACTTGTATATTTGAATGTTAATGTGTAATAAATAGATGTATAATATTATCAGCAGCAGTGAAAAGTACTACCTAGGCATAAAAGTAAAATAAAGTACATTAATTTAGCTGTTCAAGTGAAGAACTTTGACAGTCATGATATACTTATAAAATAAATGATTGCATATATACACACATCTACTGCAACATATACACTGTGCAGATTCACTAATAATTGGCAACAATAAAATTAAATATTGAAGTTTACAATAACTGCCGGCCAGGTGGCGGAGCGGTTAGCGCGCCTGACTGCGAAGCCATTGGCTGCGGGTTCGAATCCTGCTCTGGGCATGGATGTTTCTCTCTCTTTGTGCTGTCCTCTGTTGCGTGTGAATGTGGCCCACCCTATAAACGGGTTTGTGGCAGTGTAGCGTGGGCAATGTTACTCGCCTCCGTGACTTTGGTTCACAGGTGCCCACTGGGTAACGCTAAATGAGTAACAATTCTGGCATCTTCATAGGCAAAGATTCAAATTCAGTGCCTGCCATTGGAAAAAAAAAGTTTATAATAACTATAAATATATATTTCATAGGAAATTGTGATACGTTTTAAAATATTTTAATTTTCTAGAAAACTTTATTATCTTAATTATAACTCTATGTTTACTTTAATGTTTGAAATCATTGATGTTTTTAAATAGTAATTTTTTTAAAACAAATAGTGAATTAAATTTTTGATTTTAATTATTTGATGTAAACCAAAATCTCTCAGATGTTTTTTTTTTAAAAAAAAGAAAAACATTTATGGCATACAATTCCCTTATTTTTACAGGACTCTCGAGATGCTCTAGATAGAGTTGTGGATTATTTAAAGAAAAATAGAGTAGAAATTTCAAGTGATTTTGAAACTTCTTTCTTTAATCAAGAAATTACATCAGACACTTTCGCAAAATCAAACTCTTCATGTTTTATATTTTTTCTATATCCTAAAGATCGCAATTTATTTCTAACGCTTTTTAATTACGCAAAAAATAAAGCGTTACGTAAAGGATTTTAAAATATTATAAAACAAATTTGTTTGAAAGAAACTTTTCAAGAAAAATAATAAGTCATTATTTCTGTTTTCATATTTGATGTTGAATTTTGTTCAACTAAATTTAATTTTTCTGTTTAATAATTGAATCATTTTTAACTAATGAACCTACAAAGAAAAATATAATGAATTGTACTAGTTATTTATGAAATTAAGTTGGTGTATTAATAAGCTGTATGCAATACATATATACTGTATGCAATATATAAGCTGTGTACTGTTTGACAAATGAAATTTTTATATAAATTATTTATATAATGTAAAAACTGTTAACTTATTGTATTGCATTAACTTTTATGTGTTATTTATAAATTTAAAAAAGTAATTGTGCTTTCACAAAATTTGAACTTTTAGGTGTTATGTTTACTATGTCATGTTATTGTGTGAGTTATTTATGATGTTAAGTTTGTTTATTTATAAGCTGTGAACATCCCTTCAGCAAATACTATCATTTATTATAATATATCAACTTTTGTTTGAATAAAAATTTTAAAGCTACATCAGTAAAACTGATGTTTGGGAAAATGCAATTTTTATGTTAAATATTCATATCACATAGAAAATTATGAACTTAATGTGTTACAGAGACTTATATCTGTGATTTATGAATTAAAAGGAAAAATAATCACATTATAACAAAATTTGAACCCAAGTGTTTACATGGTATGAATATTTATCAAATTTATAAACTGATGTTTCAAAAATGCCCTTTTTATTTTTATATTAAATAGTTAAGCTATATTAAAATGATGAACTTAGTTACAAAAATTATGAATAAAAAAAAGTAATTTTAAAAATAAAATCTTACCAAAGTTTAATCTATTTATTTAAACTGTATAATTTGTAATTTACACTTTGTATATTCTACCAAATTAATCATATAATATTGAAATATATTGCTCTGTGTTCAAATAAAGCCTGAAAGTTTTTTTTTTATACTGTAGTTGTTGTAAATTAGTGAAATTAGTACCATTTTTAAACAATGTTTTAAATAGTGTTTTTTAAATTCATTGAATTAAAAAATCATTTATGTAAAGTATTTTGTAAAAAGAGAGATATATTTTTACATGCAAAATAAATACTTCTTCAAAAAACGATGTTTGTTAAATCAATTTTTGAACAATACTCTCTGCTTTTTTTTCAAAAGTGACCAAGTCTAAAAATGAATTCAACAGAAATATGAATTTAAAAATCCAAGTAAAAATCAAAATTTGTAATTTCATTACAGTCATACGGTATTTATTTCATTATAAAACACTGCTGTTCTTTTAAGGTTAAAGAATTGCCAATTTAACATTTTCAGTCTATCTACACTGCCCAGATAAATTAAGAATATGCTACCTAAGTCTTACATCATAACATGGTGCTGGGCATCAACAAATGAACTGTGTATTGAATTTGCCGTAGTGCTTTTAAAAATTGGCTGTTTTATAATATTGCTGTCATTCTTTTTCAGAGAATATTAATCTATCTATACTACAAAGATAAATTAAGAATACTCAAATTAATTTTGAAGTAATGTGCAGCAGACATTGGTGCATGATTACCACTTTTAGTTAGAGGCCTGTTTTATTTTGAATAGAGCCCAGGAATGTCGACTTCGCTGTGCTATGCGTTAAGAAATAAATTTGTTGTATATGGACAGTTTTAAAATGACTGGAGTCAATTCTTAATTACACAAGATTATTTATTTTTTGTATAAAGTCAAAAGGATAATGTTTGATCAATGAAAAGGAGCAAATGCATTAATAAAACTAACAAAAATTATGAATAAAGTTATTGAGTTAACTGTTCCTATTCTAAACAGAATTTTTTTAAAGCAAGATTCCAGATTAAATGTTTTATAATAATTCAAAAGAATTATTATACAGATATTTTTTGGAAGACTTCTAAATTTTTATGAGATCAGTCATGATATAAAAATGCTTATATGACAACATTAGTCCATTAACCAACACAATGTTGTAGCTTAGACTGATTTTCCTTACATAAAAGTTTTTTTCCTGAAGTGCACAGCAGTTTGCAAAAAAAATATTAATAGGCAAATGAATAACATATTTTTGAATAATTATATTCAGTGTAAAAAAGGTAAAAATTAGTCCAAGGTACAATATTTTTCCTTACACTCAAGTTTCAATATTAAAGTGGAGGGAGATCAATAAATTTTGTAATGAAAATTTGGATCATAAAATATTTTTAATCTTTTTAGCATTTACATCCAAAAAATAAAAGTGTTTTGGCACTTAAAAATCAATGTAGACATACTTAAAAAATAATTAGGACAAATTTCAGTTTTTAAACCAAATACAGTTTGTTACTTCTTTTTTTATTTTTTCCTCATTCAATAACATTTTCTAAATGTGATATAATTTTACTTTAGCTTTAAATTCAACAAACCTCCACATCGATCTAATTAACCACATTTGCTATCTTTATTCTTTTTTACCGATGCCCACCTGGGGAATGACTTACGTCATACAGGCATCTGAAGGGCAGATTTGTTGGCCACTTTTCCAGGGGTACCATATTAGGTGGGCCAATGTTGCTCCCACNATACTGCAGTTGTTATTTAAACGCGCCGAGATGGTACTGACCCGGGATTCGAACCCAGAACCTTTCTGATGCAAGGACAGTTCCCTGACCCCTACACAGGCGTTCAACTTGCTATCTTTATAAAGGGCTGAAATTGTTTTGCTTCAGCCTGCTCTTATAAATATCACTGCTGAAATTCTCACAAAAATTTCAAAAATAGTTTGTAAAATTTGTCAAAGATTTTGTTTTTCTTCTTACACCTAATAATCCTTCTAGCAGCTAAGTAAAAAATTGTTTTATTAAAAGCATTATCACATTATAGTGCTTGTCCAGAACAAGATAAAATATTTCGAAAGTCCATTAAGTTCCTCTCTGAACACAAAAGACAGGCAGGGGAAGGGAAGACACTCATGTGTTGTAAGTGACCTCCTAAAAAGTTATCTTTTGTCAGAAGTTTAAAATTGACAGTGGCCACATGTCTAGAGGGGCTAGTTAGAAAACTGTTTTGCTATATTAAGAATAAGCAAGGATGAGTTGGTAGTCTATATTACAAATAACTACTACATTCTTTGCACCCTTTATTAGAAGAACTACATATTTAACAGAATATAAGTTGGCAATTAAAAATATCCACTTTCAATCCATAAAAATGTTAACATGATACAAAAAAATTATTGCATATTTTAAATATACTTGTATATTACGAGGGTTGTTTCTTTTTCAACCTCCGATCGCACAGTATGATGGCCAGGAATGCAGCATGTGATTGGTGTGCGCAGTAGGCGACTGTGCATCTTCCCCGCTCAAACGCTCTGTCATGCCGATTCCAACAGGTCATTTCCAGTTGAGTTGCAGTCACATAAAAATGGCTGTCGCTATTGATTCTCCCGCCAACTGTGAATTGCGAGCTGTTATTCGTTTCTTACAGGCAGAAGGGAACAGTGCAGCGGAAGTTCATTGAAGAATGAGTCGAGACACCTTTACGAGTGATGGCGTTGTTCGTGAATGGTGTTGAAAATTTAAAGATGGCCTAACTGATATTCATGACGAAGGCGGTCAAGGACACAAGTCTGTCGCTACAGACAACATTGTTCAGCGCGTTGACCAAGCGGTTAGGGAAACTCGAAGGTTCACCGTAAGTGAATTATCGATGAAATTTCCAGGTGTTTCAAGATCTGCCCTGTACTCTATCATTACTGAACGGTTGCACTACAGAAAAGTTTGCGCTCGCTGGGTCCCAAGGATGTTGACTGACAACTACAAAACTCGCCGAATGGGTGCAGCTTTCGATATTTTCTTGGCCGTTTTAATACTGATGGAGAAGATTTTTTGAAATCCATTGTGACAGGTGATGAGACATGGGTTCAATATGACACGCCCGAAACGAAAATCACAACAATGGATGCACACAAACTCTCCAACGAGACCCACAAAATTCAAACGAACCTTCAACAGCCGTAAGATTATGGCAACTGGTTTTTGGGACCAAAAAGGTGCATTGCTTGTGGAGTTTATGCAGCCTGGAACAACAATTAATGCAGATTCATATTGTGAAACTTTGCGAGGCTTATGGAGAGCTATTCAAAACAAACGAAGAGACAATCTGACTTCTGGAATTGTTCTGATACAGGACAATGCCCGTCTCCACAGCGCTCGTGTAACCCAACGACTCCTTCAGCAATTTCAATGGGACATTTTCGAACACTCACCATACAGTCCCGACCTAGCACCGAGTGATTATCATCTTTTCCCTGAACTGAAGCAGTGGCTTGGAGGGCAGCGCTTCCAAACTGACGTGGAGCTCAAAGAAACCGTCACAACTCACTTCCAATCATATGCGGCTACATTTTATGAAGAGGATATTGCAAAGCTTGTTCACAGATATGACAAATGCCTTAATCATTATGGTGATTATGTAGAGAATAAGCTGTATTGTGCATTACTTTTGGTAATAAAATCTTTTTTGTATATTGACCCGTCTTTTCTTTACAGCCCATCGAAGGTTGAAAAAAAAAAAAACTCGTACTTTACAACTTTACTGAAAATGCAAATAAACACTTAACATCTAATATTATTTTAATAGTAATACATGTATAAAAGTGATTACTCCTCATGCTTGTCTGCAATATGAAAATGTTGTTATTCTGAATTATTTACATAAATATAATTATTTAGCAAAATTATACCTGTCGAATCAACAAATTTTAATATGAAATAGTTAACGCAACATATTTTTCAATTAAAAAATATTTTAAAGAAATGAAATGATGAGCAGAAATAAATAAGACAAATGAGCTAGATGTATATATATATATTTTTTTTAAAATTTATTCTAACATAATGGAACTTAAAATTTAATAATATACTTAGTAACATAATGCAGTATTAAATAAAAGAATATGCTAAAAAAATTTTTTAAATGAATTTTGTGTATTTTTTATTTCATATAGAAATAAATTTTGAAAATATTCTAATAATGAATGAAATATAAAAAGTATATGCAATATTAATTTGTTTATATTGATCACAGAAAAAAATAAAATGAAAGAGCAAGTATAAAATTCAAAAAAGCACTTTTTCTCATTAAGCTTTTAATTTCTAACAAGCATCCCTGTGGCAGAATTTTTTTGAGCTATCTGTGACTACACTCTCTAGCACTAATATCTTTCTGCAAGATACTTCTAATACTAACAAACATACTTGTTACTAATCTAAAATAACAAATACGCTGTGTTTACAAAAAAAAATATAATTTTCTTAATTGAACATGTAATAATTTTTTATTCTAATATTATGGGTGATATTCTCGCATTTTGTTGGTGGGGGGGGGCGAAAAATATTATTTACTTCTTCGCATTTTGTAAATAATCATCACAATAAAAATTTTTTTTAAATATCATGAAATCCATAGTACAGTACAGAACCCGTTATCCGGAAATCAGAAAACCGGAAAACCAAAAAACCGGAACGAAATTCAATAAATTTTCTCGCCATTATTTAAAAAAAAAATTTTTTTCCTCATAAGATTTTAGGATTTTTCTTTCTTTTTTGAAAGATGTTTACCTTACCATCATTTTGGAAATAATCATAGTGTATTACTTCATCGTTTTTTCTTCTTTTTAAGATTATTTCCAATTTTTTTTTTTTTTTTAGTTGGGTTTAACAATAAAAAAACAGCTTTTTGTAGCGATTCAGAAAACCGGAAAAATCATTTATCCGGAATTGCGATGGTCCCGATCGTTCCCGATAATCGGTTCCCTACTGTAGTAATTGCCAAAAAAAATATCTATGACGAAATCACGTAAATCCTCAAACATGTGTTTCTTTTCGAGATTAGATTGTTGTAAATTAATAATATCTGATTTTTAAAAAAAATATCACATTTAAAAACTACGGAGAAATCA